TCAGGCTGAGAAAAAGATCCTGGCTGTTGGGGAGAACAGAGTGCTGTGTGCTCTCTGCAAGCTTGTCTTCATCCTCCTCCTCCTTATCTTCCCTGTCCGCAGAATCCTCAGGCATGGCTGAGATTACCCCCTACTTGGAATCATCGGTCAGGGGTGGGGTAGTGGTGGCGGCTCCCCCTCGAATTGCATGCAGCTCAGCATAGAAGTGGCATGTCTGCGGCTCTGCCCCGGACCTTCCATTTGCTTCTTTGGTTTTCTGGTAGGCTTGTCTGAGCTCCTTAACTTTCACACGGCACTGATATGAGTCCCTATTGTGGCCTCTCTCCATCATGCCCTTGGAGATTTTTTTCAAATGTTTTGGCATTTCGTCTTTTGGAACGTAGTTCTGCTAGCAGAGAATCCTGTCCCTATATAGCAATCAGATCTAGTACCTCCCGTACGGTCCATGCTGGTGGTCTTTTTAGATTCTCGGACTGCATGGTTACCTGTGTTGATGAGCTCTGTGTGGTCACCTGTGCTCTCCAAGCTGGGCAAACAGGAAATGAAATTCAACAGTTCACAGGGCTTTTCCTGTCTACTTGGCCAGTGCATCCGAGTTCAGATTGCTGTCCAGAGCGATCACAGTGGTGCACTGTGGGATAGCTCCCGGATGCCAATACCGTCGAATTGCGGCCACACTAACCCTAATTCGAAATGGCAATGTCGATTTCGGCGCTACTCCCCTCGTCGGGGAGGAGTACAGAAATTGATTTTATGTAGAAGTAAATGACTTCGTTGTGTGGATGGGTGCAGGGTTAATTCGATTTAACGCTGCTAAATTCGACCTAAACTCATAGTGTAGACCAGGCCTTAGTTTGCAAAATTTAGATTGTGAATTTACTTTTATTTCTTAAGTAGCCAACTTTGATCTGTATGGCTGCTACTTATAATCACTTAAAATCTATCTTTCCGTAGTTAATAAATCTGTTTTTATATTTCACCTAAAACAGTGTGAATTTTTTGGTTGAAGTGTTAAGGGAATCTCATCTCAGGTTACAAAGGCTGGTGCATGTCAATTTTCCTATGAAGAAGTAGTGAACTAGGTAATGAGCTTCCACTGGCTAGGCTTCTGACCAATGCAAGACAGTACAGCTCTGGGGTGCAAGACTGGGGGGGGCGGGGAGGGGAATTGGCTGGAGCCTCTCTATTGATGGTTCATAAGTGGCTAGATCATTCATGTAACTCAGTTGGGTGTGTGTCTGTCTGTGGATGGCTGTGTAAGTGGCAGAGGCTTGCGGATGGCAGTGCCTGTCAGACGCTTGTAGCTTGACATCAGTTTCACAGTGTGAGAGGCAGCCCATGTTGGTAGGTTTGGAAGGCACAGTGGTCCCAGTCCAGGTTACACCCCAGGGACCCCCTCACAGTGAGTGAGGATTGAATACCTTGTAACCAGCCAGACCAACCCTTGGTATCAGAAGCCCCAAATCATTTTTTTTGATTAGTGGAAAAATTGCTTGTATATTTGCTTCTGTTTCTGTGCCTTCATCTCTCATTCTTTCCCCTTGCAACACTGGACTGGTGCTTGTGGCGAAGAAGGGGCAGGAACACATTTTATAACATTAGTGGACCTGAATGAAACCCAGACCTGACATAATGGATTTCAGGAAAGCCCCATAAAGTGACTGCCATCTCTCCTAGCTCTGTGGCAGTTCTCCTAGTCTATAGCTTACGTGCTCTTTCTTGTAGATCAGGAGTTAATGTTGTAATGAGCATCATTAACTCTTAACAATTTGCTGTGTATGGTAAGAGCAAGTACTGGAGGAGGATGTCATGTAAAGCTGCTGCTCCCTAGCACCTCTTCCTTTCTGACCATCTGTTTCTTCCCTTTCATGCATATTTTAACTCTCATTGTTTCCACAGAGATGTGGGTGGTGTCTGGTTAGCTGTGAGGCATAGCATGCTGTGTGTGTGTTCTAGTATTTATGTATTCCCAGCCTGAAGAATAGTAATTTTTGCTTCCTGAAAATCTGTGAGGAGAATTCTGCCAATATCTCCTGAGGCAGAGAATTCTAAATGTTTATATGTTTGGGGATAAAAGTGCTTACATGTACCTAATCTACACTTTAGGGGTTTTAATCTTCAGTAGGAATGCATGCTTTTTTTGGTGCTGCTTAGTTGAAACACATCCATCCCCAACTCCTTGGGAACTCTCTTACCATATTATATTTGAACACCCTCCAAAGCTCCTTTCCCCAAGTATCCTGTCTTTTCTGCAGATTGGTTAGATTTAAACTTTGCTGCCTCAAAGCAATGCCTCTGTCTAGCACAGGGGTTCTTAAACTGTGGGTTGGGACCCTTCATGGGATCGTGAGGTTATTATGCGGGGGGAGCTGTCAGCCTCCACCCCCAACCCCGCTTTGCCTCCAGCATTTAAAATGGTGTTGAATATATAAAAAAGAATTTTTAATTTATAAGGGGGGTTGCACTCAGAAGCTTGCTATGTGAAAGGGGTCACCAGTACAAAAGTTTGAGAATCACTGGTCTGGTATATATAATTTGTTGAAGAAGGGAAGCTACTTTAAGTGTATGTATAATAGTAATTGTCAATATGTATTTAGTTGTTTGTGTGTGTGTGTGTGTGTGTGTGTGTGTGTGTGTGTGTGATATACTAAAAGTGGTCACAGTAGTTAATTTTTTCGAGGAGACTTATTTTTAATTTAAAATTGACTATTATG